AAGCGTTCATTAAAAAAACTATTATGAAAATAAATTCACCTCTTATGATATTGACCTAAGAACAAAATGGCAATTGATTAATGAAATCCTCAACATAAAACATCGCCAAATATCAAACGCCTAAAAAACGGTGTCTTATTTAATATTTGCTACTTATTAAATAAAAACTTCATCAAATCCATTAACAATATTTAACAAAAATTTGGCTGTTATACCTCCAGATCATAAAATATTAATACAATACAATATTTTATTTGGCCACAAAATTTGAGACTTATCGAGCACAGCCGCCTTTTCAAAATATGATATATAATTGTCAGTTTCATATACATATATATATATATATATATATATATATATATATACATACATACACATATACATACATACATATACATACATACAACAAAACAAATAAGCCGCAATCTTACTAACAAATTGTCAGAGTTTATAAAAATATACACTTGCAAGACTAGCACATATACATGTCAAGTACATACAAGTACAGCCAGTACAGTATAGAACATACTATATACATCGTAATCTTACTAACAATGTTCAATTCACCTATATATAACAAACACACAAACATTCTTATCTGAATTCATTGTCAAAATAAAATAATTTTTTTAATAATGTCTACAAATCATTAAACTTATTATGCAAAAACCAAGATAAACATACAGAATGTACGTACACAACACATGAATGCACATCTACATGTCATTACCAAAAATAATTGACAAAATTTGAACTTTCACAAAAAACAATTTAATAATCACAATCACAGTTTATTAAAAACAATTTCAATTTATTTATTAAAATTTTCACATTAAAAATATCCACAGGAAAATCCATTTGTAAAACGTGGTTCTAGTTTCTTGGACCCCTGCATATGATATGGTTGAAGAGCATATTTGTTTTTGAATTATTCGTCTTTAAAAAATTTTGTCTTCTCTTCGCGTTACAGTAATTGTAGTAATGGCTGAACATCTGTGGTAATTTATTTAAAAGTTGTTTGTAAACAAAACAATCTGCACAGTGTAGCTTTAGTTGGTTGAATCTTAAATTATTTGTCTGCTGAAAAAGAGGTTTTGTATGAGTGAGTTTTTTTGATAGCGTTATTGTCCTAATTGCTCTTTTCGTTAATATTATTATTGGATTTGTTACTGTTGAACATGTACCTGACCAGATAATATTACAATAAAAACATGCGGCAAAACTATAGTGTTGCAAAGCAGGTTCAAGCATGATTTTAGTAAATAAAATTTGATTTTGTTTATGACTCCAATTGATCTTGCCAATTTAGAACATATGTTAAGAACATGTGGCTTGAATGATAACTTTTGGTCCAACATAACTCCCAAAAATTTTACTGTCTTACTTTCTATGATGAGAGTGTTGTTGACTATGATTTTATATGGCTCCTTGTAATTCATATAATTCACTGGCCCAAATACTATGGCATCAAATGTCGTATCAATATACTTTCAAAAAATTGATTATCAAGATATCTTTTCAATAGTTAGTAAAAAAATCTAAATAAAAAAAAATCGATCTCAAATGACACTTGCAGTATGTTTATAGTTAAATTGTTCATAGATGAGTTGGTTATGTTCTACTCTTTTTCAAATATTCTAGAAAAAGCAGTTTCCAAGAGATTAACTACGTTTATTGCCGTTGAATATTCTAAGTAACCATAGTATGAATTTAGAAAGACCTAAAACTGATCTAACCATTCTTGAATTCGACCAACTGGTTCTGAAAAGTCTTGAAAGTAAAGAAATGACCGTGGGAGTGTTTGTCGACTTATCTAAGGCTTTTGACATAATCAACCATGAATTGCTTTTAAATAAATTGTTCCATTATGACTGTCGTGGACAAGTATTGGATTAGTTCACCCCTTACTTCTCTAATAGATCACAATATGTACACGTGAACGGTTCTAGCTCCTCCATTTTATCCGTAAATTGTTGAGTCCCTCAAGGTTCCATCTTTAGATCGCTTTAGTTTTTCTTATACATTAATGATTTACTTAAAGCTTCATGAATTGTCAACTGTATTCTCTTTGCCAATGAAACAAATTTATTCTACTCATCACGTAACTTGAATGAAAACAATGCTTTGATAAATTCAGAGATCTCAAAATTTGATAAATGGTTTAAGATGGTTCGCCTAGCAATTAAAGTTGAAAAATGTGCTTACACTATTTTTGGACCAGCAATTCTAACAAAAGGGACTTAAGATTTGAAAATTAGTTTAATCAATCTCGATATTTTGCGTGCTGATCTAATTAAATTTTTAGGGATTCAATTACAAAGTAATTTGTCATGGTCATCCCATATTGTCTTTGTTCTTAAAAGAAATTTTTAGATATTTTGTATAAATTGAAACATAATTTTAACTATTCAACATTAAACTCGTTGTATTTTTGCTTTATTCACTCCTACTTATGTTATTGTGTCTTTATTTGGGGCAATGGTTTAAAGTATATAATTAATCAGATTTTAGTATGTCAAAAAAATTTGTAAGAGTATTGTATAAGTTTAACTACAACTCTCACGTTCAACACATATTTTTTCCAGTTGGTATACTTATTATTAATCAACTGTATGTTTATTTTGCTGCTATTTTTATATATAAATACCTTAACAACTGGTTGCCATCCTTTTTCAATAATTGTTTATACTTAGAAAGCATTATAAAAAGCAAAATTACAAGCAAGATAAACAATATATATAAAATTTATATCCACAATGCAAGACTAAAATTGATTTGGGATGATATTATCCTAGTTGACATTAAAACATAAAAGGTTTGTTACCTTTTAAAAAGCGCTTGAAAGTGTTCGTTCTTAATAACAAGCCTCCGTGAGGGGTTGCAATTTTCAATTAATTAACTTCATACATGGTACTTGATCTCAAGCAAATTTATGAATTAATGGTTTAGTTAGTGTGGTTGGATTGGCAGTGTTGGTTCGGTGATTGGTTACCGTTTACTTAATGTATGTGAGGTTTTCTGAGCGTGGAGGCTGGGTATGACTGAGTGGTTGCTGGTTGTGGGGGTGAAAGTGGTAAGTTTCTGGTTTGTTTGCTTGAATTGGTATTATTAGGTCGATGAATGGTTGCTATATACTTTATGTTCTGTTTTTCTTGTAAATGTGTCAAAATAATGATTGAATCGTTGCAGGTAAGTAGTTGTATCGTGTGCGGTGTGTTTCTGGTTTGAGTGATTTAATTGACTTATATTGTTGGATCATTGAAGTATAGGAATTAGGGCATTTAAGTTCTAATTACATAAATTTATGTATTAATAATTCATTTTTTATTTTGCCTAATATTAAATATTTGCCTATATTTTGGTTTACTTTTTAGTGATAATATTCCCGAACTAATTTTGCAAATTTTTAGTAATTTTAGTCATGTATTTTTCTCTCCAACGTGTTAATACAATTCTCATACAAATTTAGATACATATTTATAATTTTAAGACTAGTATTTTCTTTTTTTATTTTTTTTGTCGATTGAAAAGGTGTCTGTGCTCGATGAATCTTTTTTTTGACTCTTCACGTTCATCTTGAGCCTTGTTCTTTTTTATTCTCTGAGGAACTCTTATAAAATTGTATTGTTTATTCTTAAAATAATTTTGTCTAAACTTAATCGCTTTCATATTAATTTTATTGGTTTTTCAGTTTTATCCGAAGAGGGAGCTGTTTACAAAGATGTTAATTTCTCCATTGCGTTTAGGTCGAAAGATATTCCGGTAGCTAACATACTGATCGGAGATGAACTTCAACATACATTTCCCGCTCCTTTGTCGCCTCTGGATAAAAACACTATTAGTGGTGTCGCTTTCAATATATATAATAACATTTGGGAAACAAATTACATTTTTTGGTATCCATATTTAGATGGCGATGAACATTTTAAATGTCATTTTTTTATCGATTACTTCTAAAACGTTAATACTTTTCGACCTATTACGCTTTTTACATTAACTGATGATATAATATGCGTGATATAAATGGAAAAATATTTTCAATAGACAACTATAAAATTAAATTCACCGTTTTTGTGTAATTTCAATTTTTTTCAAAATTTTTGGCAAAGCAACTTGCTTACTTATACCTGCATCATTACTTGTCAGGGTTTTAGCTGCGACCGGGAAATTAACATACAAAGGGTATGAATACATTGGAATAGTAGTAATAGACGAATGGCAATGAAGCAAGTAAAAATAGCAACCAATCCGCTGGGTGTACAGATATGTTGGAAATAAAATAGACCCGGGAAGTTAATCGGTCGTGGTGAGTGGTAGTGGAAAAACTCTCGAAGTTACGCTGGTAGTTCGTGCAGTTAGTGGACGCTTTTACGTTGGTGGTTGTAACAGTCGTTGGAAGCAGTTACGTCGGTGGTTGGTATAGTTGGCGGAAGCAGTTACATCGGTGGTTAGTACAGTCAGTGGAAGCAGTTACGTTGGTGGTTGGTACAGTTGGTGGAAGCAGTTACGTCGGTGGTCGGTACAGTTGGTGGAAGCAGTTACGTCAGTGGTTGGTACAGTCGGTAAAGCGGTTACGTTGGTGGTTATTAAATTCCAGAGTAGTCAGGGCAAACCCTGATAACGAAACGAAGTGACAACACGTCGGCAGTCAACGAGGCCTCCGCCAGAAGCTCCGCAGACAACGTGACAGCCGGTGTCCACATTCACAGTCATTGCTACATTTGATGAAAGTTTATGATTTTTTTGTTGGGAACTGTTGGCGAACCCTTACATTTGGTGCCAGAAGTGGGATATCTGTCAAAAGAAGTACGAAAGTGCGACAGATATCAACAGCTGTGAAACGTAGTTCCCCAGCGTTGAGTATTAAAAGTAAACCAAATCTTAATAATTATTAATTTTGAACGTGGGTGTGACGAAAGTGAATCGCGATAATAAAAGTAAACAAAATATAATAATTATTAATTTTGAAAGTTGGTAGAAAGTCGCTAAGTCATTTCAGAATGGACCGGTCGACGAGGTCAAAAACAATCAATCAGGAAGAAGAGAGTAAATTAGACCCAGTGCAGGCACTGCAGATGAAAATAATGGAAGAAGACGCAAGACGAAGGACACAACATGAGGATAAAGAAGCGAAGCAAAAGGAGGAAGAAAGAAAATCGCGGATGAAGTTGGAGGAGGAGGAAGCGAAGCAAAATGAGGAAGAAAGAAAGTTACGAATGAAGTTGGCGGAGAAGGAAGCAAAACAGAAGGAGGAAGACAGAAGGTTCAGAAGAGAGGCAGATATTCCGAGAATGGAACACAAGGAAGATACGGAAGAACAACTCGGAAGTGGTTGTTATAGCTGTGGTAACACCGGTCATCTTGCCAAGCATTGTCCGAGGAGAATAAAGGACGAACCAGTAAAACGGATCATGAAATGCCAGGTGAACCAGAGGTTAGATGGTACAGTGAATGAGCAGACCCAGGATGGAGTTGGTAAAAGGGTGCAAGTTAGAAAATTATTCAAAAGACCCTTTGTGAAGGTCCAGGTACAGGAGAAACAATTCTGCGATTCTCTGGTGGATAGTGGAGCCGAGGTATGTTGCATCAGTAAAAAATTATTTGATGCTTTAAATCTAGAGCGGATGGGCCAACTACGGATTGTAGGATTGGATGGACAGAGTAGGAAGGTTGACGCTACCTGGGTAACTGTGACTCTCCAGATAAAACACTGTGAAGTCATTGCACCAAGTGTGGAAGTTTGGTGTGCCATTATACCAGATACCCTCGAAAAGCTACTTATCACCCCCGATGTAGTTGAACGTTTGAAGGGTACAGAAGAATACGCAGTGCCGTTGGTAAGTTTGGAAGGAGATACAAGAAATGCCTCAGGTAAAGCTATTCGAAGAAGGATAAAAACATTTGATGGACTAGCGCAAGAAGGTAAAGAACAGATGTTTTACGATCCGGAGGTTGGGCTTACACAATGGGAACCATGGAATTAAGAAGCTAATAATAACCATAAAAACATTGATCACATTAGTCAATTTGATGTTAACGAATCGGAGAAGGGAGTTGCACATAGTGATGATAATGGTAATGTCAGGCAGTCTGTAGTCAGCAGATTCGTAGAGGAGGAGGAAGAAGTTGGTAATTGTAATAAATGTAATTCAGATGTCGGTGGTGCACGTAGGGCAGATGTCGGCGGGGCAGGTAACTTCAGGGTGGGGACAGAGAAAGCAGATGTCAATAGATCAGATGAAACACAGAATATCTAACACAAATGTTAGTGATTCAGAGGAATCAAATGCCGGTGGTGTCCGTAAAGCAGACGTGGCTGGGTTAGTCGAATCAGAGGTCAGCAGTTCAGAGCAGGAGGATGACGAAGAAGATGGTGAAGATGGTCAGTTTGATGACAATAGTAATTGTGGTGGTAGGTCCAATGTTTGGGTAAGAGATGAAGAAGATGATATTGGTAGATCACCTGAGGACGAAATATGTAATAATTGTAATGTTAAAATGGTGAAAGCTGTTGGTGGACCAGTGGTAGAAGAAGAAAAAAATAACAATAGTAAGGGTGGGTTAGTAATAGAATCGGAGGAGGTCAGTGATGAGGATGGCGATGATGAAAGAGGGAACGATGAAGGGGAAAATGACACTTGCATGACATGTATGAACGACTGCCAGGAAGTTGGAGGAAAAGCACAAAGAGGGTGCACCATGGGACGGAAGGAATTCATTCGAGAACAACGAAACTGTCCCTCGCTGCAAAAATATTGGCAGTATGCAGTGGTCAACAAAAAGAATTTTTGTATTGAATATGATGTCTTATATCACAAGGAGACGGTTATGGGTCACAAGGTGAGACCACTGTGTTTGCCCACGTGTAGAATTAAAACAGTATTGGAATTGGGGCATGATGCGCCAACAGCTGGACACATGACGGCCAAGTCGACCAGACAACGGATTGCGTTGAGTTTCTGGTTTCCCGAAATGTCGAACAAGATACGACAATATTGTAAATCGTGTGAAACCTGTCAGTTGAGAGCTCCTACGCGGACGCCAGAGAGAATTCCCATCACTCCTATCTCGAGGAACGATGATTTGCCGTTCTCTCATTTAGTCATGGACTGTGTCGGACCGATAGTAACTCCGGAGGCAGGAATCCAACCTCAATTCAACGCATTAGAGGGGATCTCATCATGATGTATAACTTATTTAGAGCTAAAGATCAACGTGACATCCCGGTAATGATGAAAGCTGGGGGACGAACAAGAGGACACGAAATGAAATTGACTGCTCTTCCATTCCATAAGAACTTGAGGAAACAATACTTTATCAATAGATCAATTTGTATCTGGAACAATCTGGGTGTCGATGTTGTGAATGCTGATAATGTGAATGATTTTTAAAAAAAGTTGGATACTTATTTTATGAATGCCAGATTTATGTATGATTGGAGGGCAAATGATACTTGATGTGACATTGGCTATATTTGACTTTTAAGAACATTAATTATTTTAAGTTTATTCAGTATAGACTCATAGGTTTATTTAATTTATTGTTTTAAAATTGTCTTAGTTTTGAGAAGGCACTGGGACGTTTCGTCTTGGCCTTTGTTTAACGTAATAATATAATACAATTATGCCTTGGTGGTAGTGGATTTGTTCACAAGATGGCCCATGGCATACCCCATGAAACGCATCAACGCCGAGATCACGTGTGATATTCTTTTGCAGATTTTTATGACTTTTTCTGTACCGAAGATTATCAGTTCAGACTGATGTACCAATTTCATCAGTCGTCTCACCCAGGAGATGTTAAAGAGATTGGAATGCAGTCCACGATTCAATTCCCCAGGTCATTCGGAAGCATCAGGAGTGGTAGAACGGTGTAATCAATCACTAAAAGCAATGATATTCAAGTTAGCGAAAGATCAACCACGAAGCTGGCATTGATTGTTGCCTTTTGTCCTATGGAGCCTACGAGAGAAACCCTCGTCAACGACGCATGTAAGTCCATTCACGGTGTTGTTTGGGACATTACCCCGAGACCGCTAACAATTTTAAGGGAATCATGGATAGGAGACCGTTGTTCTCCTTTGAACATTGGTAGACGACCAGATGAGTATTTAAGGACTCTTAAGAAACAATCTGGAAGAAGCAAAAACACTTGCGGAGGGACATGCCGATCAAGAGTAACAACGCTATACCCATCAATACAACTTACGGAGTACTGATCGTCAGTTTCAGTTGGGGGATTTGGTCATCCTGCTGATACCTACTCTGTTACGATACAAGTGGTGTAATAAGTGGCAAGGACCAGGAACAGTGGTGAAGGTGAAATCCCCTCATTCATACGTAATTGAAATTAACGGTCAACGACACCATGTACACATCAATCGTTTGCGGAAATACAACAGCCGATTTGAGGAAGCCGTCGTTAGCAGCTGTGCTATACTTCGGGATGGTGAAGAAGATTTTGGTAAGTTACGGTCATACGAACCTCAAGATAATCAGAATGTGAACGAGATAGATGAGTACATTGGGGGTATATCACACTTGTCTGCGGAACGAAAGGTTCAGGTGAAGAAGCTGGTAAGGAGATTTCATCAGATATTTGCGACCAAGGTGGGGCTGCATACAGTGGTTCAACACAGAATCAGGGTAAGTTCCGAATTAAAACCCAAGCGAATGCGGGCATATAAGGTACCAGAACTACTCAAAAAGGAGGTGAAGGCACAGATCGAGATGATGTTAGAACAGGATATAATCGTGCCGTCTACTAGTGAAATGGCCAGTCCAGTTGTATGTATTCTTAAGAAAAATGGTGGAGTAAGGCTGGCAATCAACTACAGATACGTCAATAAATATTCAGCTGGTGATGGTTACCCCACCCCTGACGTACGGGAAGTACTGCAAAAGATCACCAAGGCTCGATTCATCAGCAGTTTTGACGCTCGAAGTGGATACTGGCAGATTTCAATGGAGGAACAGTCAAGATATTTGACGGCATTTGTCTACGACGATGGGTTGTACGAATTCAAACGCATACCGTTTGGATTGAAATCAGCAAGCATCACTTTCACTCGAGCGATGGGTGAACTAACCAAAGACATGAGAAAATTTACTGAGGCATATATTGATGACGTAGCAGTTTTCTCTCAGACTTGGGACGAACACATACAGCATCTACAGATTTTTTTTGCTGTAGTGAACAAATCAGGGTTGACGTTTGATATAAAAAAAATGTCGAATTGCAGAAGAGCAGATACCATTCTTAGGACATGTGGTGGGATCAGGAAAAATTGACATAGATCCAACGAAGCTACAAAAGCTGGACAATATCCGATCCCCTACTACAAAGAGGGAGGTACGAAAGATTCTGGGATTTTTTAACTATTTCCAGAGTTTTATTCCACAGCTCGCCAGAAGACTTTCAGCATTACTGATTTGACTAAAAGCCGAGCAGGTAGTTCGATACGATGAACAGTAGAACCTAGAGCCTAGACGAAGTTACACAACAATTAAGGAACGCCACCAGCTTATACACTATCGATTACACACGTCCCTTTGGTCTGATTACTGATGCTAGCAATCATACTATTGGTTGTTGCCTAGTACAACAAGATGACATGGCGAAAGAAAGACCTGTTGCGTTCGCAAGTAGGAAATTATCAGATGTGCAAAGACGTTGGTCAAGCATTGAGAAGGAGGAATATGCCGTACTTTGGGCAATACAAAAATTCCGAAGCTGGATTTGTTTGTCCCCGATCTATGTTTATACGGATCAACATCCGTTGACATATTTAACAGAAACAGCTCAAAAAAGTTCGAAATTGATGAGATGGGTGTTAGCCTTGCAGGAGTATGATCTACATATCAAATACCGGGCGGGAAGTAAAAACATCGCGGATATACTCACAAGGATGATGGTGTCCCAAGAGGTGGTTGATGAGGAATGTCAGTAGGATGGGAGTGAATATTCCACCTCGTAGAATATTCAAATTTTTGAGGGAGAGGTATGTCAGGGTTTTAGCTGCGACCGGGAAATTAACATACAAAGTGTATGAATACATTGGGATAGTAGTGTTAGACAAATGGCAATGAAGCAAGTAAAAATAGCAACCAATCCGCTGGGTGCACAGATATGTTGGAAATAAAATAGACCCGGAAAGTTAATCGGTCGTGGTGAGTGGTAGTGGAAAAACTCTCGAAGTTACGCTGGTAGTTCGTGCAGTCAGTGGACGCTTTTACGTTGGTGGTTGTTACAGTCGGTGGAAGCAGTTACGTCGGCGATTGGTATAGTTGGCGGAAGCAGTTACGTCGGTGGTTGGTACAGTGGGCGGAAGCAGTTACGTCGGTGGTTGGTACAGTTGGTGGAAGCAGTTACGTCGGTGGTTGGTACAGTCGGTAAAGCGGTTACGTTGGTGGTTATTAAATTCCATAGTAGTCAGGGCAAACCCTAATAACGAAACGACACGTCAATTCAACAATCGTGAGTTGACAACGCGTTCGACAACCTACCCGTCACTTCAGCAGGCGTGAAGCAACATTACGTTCAACAAACGACACGTCAGTTCAGCAGACGTGAATTGACAGTGTGCTCAACTAACGACACGGCATTTCAGCAGCGGTGAAGTGACAACACGTCGGCAGTCAGCGAGGCCTCCGCCAGAAGCTCCGCAGACAACGTGGCAGCCAGTGTCCACATTCACAGTCATTGCCACATTTGATGAAAGTTTATGATTTTTTTGTTGGGACTTGTTGGCGAATCCTTACAATTACTCAAATTTGTTTTGTTCTGGGGACTACCATCAATTCACAAGAGATCGATCGCAGAGCATGTCCAGCTCAGATTTTTGTCGTAAAACCTCCTTCAAGTGTACTGGTTCACCACCATGAATGCAATAGTGTGGCAATAACTGCCATCTGGTAAGAATTTCTTTCGCGCACCGGTAACCAATGATTTTCCAACCACCTGGTTATGTAATCACGTCTACCAAGCCCAACAAACAGTCTTGCAACAGCGTTTTGAATGAGTTGAACTGTCTTAACCACACCAACCCAGAAGTGTAGCCAGGATATTTTGCGCTCGGAATTACTGTTTACAAAAACAATTCAAATTTTAATGGATCATTGTATTTAAAGATAAATTATAAATATACAAATTATAACATATGATTCAGTCACTGTTAAAGAAAGTTTACAATAGATTTATTTTTCTAGATTTCATTGTCGCAAACTGATCAATTCTGTTATTAAAATCTGTCATTTTCAATGTTTCTTTTTCAACACTGAGAAGAGCAAGATCACTAAGACGATCTTGTCCCATTGATGCACGCAGGTACGATAAAATAAGTTTTAATTTGCTGAATGATCGCTCACAGCTTGCAGTTAAAACTGCTATTGTCAATAAAATTTTTAGCGAAATTCGGAAATACGTCATTTTATAAAACACAATGAAACCAAAGAGATAGAAAGGACTTTCTGGTAGAGCTTCAGTTCGGTTACTGAGCAGCATTCTGCAATCACCTTTTTCAATGAAAAGTTCGTAGACATTGATGTCCGTGTCGTAGAAATTTTAAAAATTTGTACAATTAAGACGAATTGCATCTTCATCTGTTGCAGATAGAAGAGTCTTAACGTCCAGCAAAAATCCAAATTTATTATTCATGTCTTTTTGTCGTAAAAACGTGTTGACATCTCTTGTTGAAGCCGAACAAATACATTCGTCATAACACGCACAATTTCCTCTTCTGATGAAAGTCCTGCATCCCTTGCCAGTTCTCCAAGGCATTTTCTTACGTCTCCTGATTCTTCTGTCCACCTCAATCTCCCAAGTTGGGCATTTTGTTTTGGCGTTTTCTACAACAGCTTGGCTCAAACTATCACGAAGCGTGAAAAATTCTTGCTCCAAAGATTCAATATCTGTTGCAGCTTCCTTGAAATTCATTGTAGGATCTGTACCCGATCAATTTTCCCAAGAACGGTAATTTCCCCAGAATTGTAATAAAACTATGAAATTAAAATTCAATATGCAAGCCTGTAACTGTTGTGCACCACTTCTAGTTTCAGGTGTCATAATTGAGTCCTCCGTTAATTTTTCTAGAAGTCTAACTAATTCATCCAGTCCTTCATGTATAGCTTTAACAGCTTCTGATCGTGCACTTCAGCGTTTTTCAGACTCTCGTTTTTTAACTCTTCCCAACGAATAGTTGAATGAGAGAAAAATGAATATACATTTTCGAGTGTCGTAAAAAATGGAACAACAATTGAATCTTACTTAGCTGAGTGTTTTCCTACTAAATTTAAGCTGTGGTTATCACAGTTAAAAAACAGTGCTCTGTAATTTCTGTCACATATTCTTTGTTGAAGACCAGATATATACCCGGTCATCACAGCTGCATTGTCGTAACATTGTGCTCGACACTCGGCTAGAGGTATCTTGTCAGATTTCAGTCTTTCGACGATTACTTTTTCTAGGCTTGCTACATCTTTTAAATG